CGGCTGCATACTAGGGGAGTGCCCTACTTCCACTATCTCTCTGGCCCCTTTGAAAGACTGAACAAATGTTTTGATTTACTGTCACTGAAATGACAAGATATTGGATGAGGGAGAGTACAGGAGATAATGTGCTTGCCTTGTGCATGGCCGACCCAGGAGCAAGCCCTGAGCACTGCCAGCTGTGGCCCAAACCATCACCCCACAAATTCTGATATAAAAATGCCAAGGTCAAAGTTTCCTTGAGAACACAGCCATGTCCTCCGATTTACATCCGGTCAGGGACTACTTTTGTACAGCGAGAACTAAGGAGTTGTGTCAAAGTGGACTATGGCCTGCAAAGCTGGCACTACTTTCTAGCCCACTGGACAGAAGCTGGTTCACTTCCCTACTGGCCCGACAAGGGAGCCTCACTATGTGGTGACCAGAATTACTAGTATGGAAGGGAGGAAAGAAAGGGTGTCCAGATTCCAAGGACTCTGCTCCTCCTATCAAGGGTCCCCGCCAGGAGCCCCCCGAAAGAGCCTGCACCCCTCCTGCTTTCTTTTCCTTTTTTGAAGTTCTATGAAGCTGACTGAGAGAAGAGCGAGATCAGATGAGTAAAACACATGCACATCTGAACCCCAACTTTTGGGAACTTTCTGAAGTCCAGCCCGCCCCTCTGGCAGCGGCTCCCTCTCAGGTCACGCTGTCTGCAGCTGTCTGGTGGGTCGGGTCTGGTCCATCTCCACATCAGCTGGCCAGTGGCCCTGGGATCTGAGCGCCGCGGCTCCTTGGAACCTTATTTTGAACTAGTTCCATTCCCAGCTCCTCCCTAGCCCACAGCCATGCGAAACCCTTCTTTGGACTAGTTTTCCCCAGTCATGGGTGCTCACTCGGATTAGAAGTTGGTGCTGTCTAGCTTGAGGTTAACCCAAACTTGATCTCTCTCTTGTTGACAGACTCAGACTTAGGTACTTTCCTGAGGCTTTCTGCTTCCTGCCAAGGCACCTCCTGCCCTTTCAAGCGCACACCTCTTCATCATCAGTGTGACAAATAACTAACTGCCTAAGCAAACTCTCCACCCAGCTGATTCCCAGCCCCAGAGAGGGTGGGTTTCAGGGACATGTATAGGAGAGAGTGTGAGAACCCACAGCCTCCCTCCCCTGCCAGCCAACGTCACTAGCTGGGACGGTTCCGTAAGGCTCAAGGAGCAGGCTCCTGTGCGGGCTCTTGGGTGAGAATTCCATTAAATAGGACAGCAGGGAGGGTGTTTGAATTGTACGCAAGTCCACCCAGGTGTGACCCCAACATTCCTTATGGCCACCAGCACACCACCAGGAATGATCCCTGAGTGCAGAGCCAGGAGTAACGTCTAAGCGTCTTGGGGTGTTGCCCGAAAAACCAAAATGAAGAATTTCATTGTGTCCAACCTGGAAGAAGGGGATACAGAGGTCCTGGAGGGAGCCACCTCTCCTCTGTCCCTCCCCAGTTCTCTGGAGAGTAGGTGAATCTGGAGTCCCTGTCCCACCGGCTGCGACACCTGCTTGGGGTTGGGGGGGCAGGGCTGGCGCTGTTGGGAGCTGAATTTAGGCTGGAGCCCTTCAAGGTTCGCCCCTAAGACAAGGATCTAGAGCCGGCACCTCCCCCGCCCCCTGCACCCAGAAGCGCGCTGAGTGGCTCTCCCTGCAGTCAGGCCTGTTCCCAGCAACACTCCCACCCCCATTCACAGGGGTTCACTTCCTCTGAGGCGTCCCCAAACCACGCCAGTGAACCCCAGCTCAGCAGGCCTGGGGCTGCAGCCGCTTCCTCTCTCCCAAGTCCCTCCAGAGGGTTCCAGAGGTCAACAGAGAGTGTCCGAGCCACTCCAACCACCCCGTACCGAGGGTACCAGAAAAGAGGTCGCCTGGCCAGGCTGCTTTCCTGGAAACTTCCACCCTGATCCCATGCTGCCCCGGCAGACTCCGGTCGCAGGGAGACAGAATCCGGCCGGCTGAAGGCAGAGGGGCACGCCGCGCTCCACCCCTCAGCCCCGCCCAAACACAAACCCCGTACCCTGAGCACTGCCAGGGGTCATTCATGAGCACAGGGCAGGGATGACTCCTGAGCACTGCCAGGGGTCATTCATGAGCGCCGAGCAGGGATGACTCCCGAGCACTGCCAGGGGTCATTCATGAGCGCCGAGCAGGAATGACTCCTGAGCACTGCCAGGGGTCATTCATGAGCGCCAAGCAGGAACGACTCCCGAGCACTGCCAGGGGTCATTCATGAGCGCAGAGCAGGAACGACTCCCGAGCACTGCCAGGGGTCATTCATGAGCGCCGAGCAGGGACGACTCCCGAGCACTGCCAGGGGTCATTCATGAGCGCAGAGCAGGAACGACTCCCGAGCACTGCCAGGGGTCATTCATGAGCGAAGAGCAGGGATGACTCCCGAGCACTGCCAGGGGTCATTCATGAGCGAAGAGCAGGGACGACTCCCGAGCACTGCCAGGGGTCATTCATGAGCGCAGGGCAGGGACGACTCCTGAGCACTGCCAGGGGTCGTTCATGAGCGCCGAGCAGGGACGACTCCTGAGCACTGCCAGGGGTCATTCATGAGCGCCGAGCAGGGATGACTCCCGAGCACTGCCAGGGGTCATTCATGAGCGCCGAGCAGGGATGACTCCCGAGCACTGCCAGGGGTCATTCATGAGCGCAGAGCAGGGATGACTCCCGAGCACTGCCAGGGGTCATTCATGAGCGCAGAGCAGGGATGACTCCTGAGCACTGCCAGGTGTGGCCCCCAAGCCCCGATAAGTGCCGTGGAGGGCCTGGGGCGTGACATGCCTGGTGGGCGGGAATTCCCCGGGCTCGGGTCCGATCCCTAGCACTGCACCATCCACCCGCAGAGCCCAAGAGCCCCGAAGGCCAGGAAATCAAGGGGGCGGGGGCGGGGGCCGGATGGACGCGCAGTGCAGAGACGGGGCGGGGGTGGCGGCTAGGGGCTGGCCAGCGGGAGCCCGGCCGCGCTGGGCAGCGCCGGGCAGCGCGCCCCACCCGTGATTGGCCGGCGGCTCGGGCCGGCCGCAGACCTGCCCAGCAACAGCCCCGGAGGCCGGAGCGGCGGGCGGGGACTTCGCGGAAGGGGCGGAGCCGCCCCCGCCCCGCCGGCTTCCAGGAATCGCAGGGAGCGCCCTGCAGTCGCACCCTCCGCTCGGGGTCCCCGGGCCAGCTTCGGCCTGGGAGGAGCGTCCGGGCCCCCCGGTCCTGGGCCGAAGCCACTTCCTTTGCCCCCTTGCCGCCGGGCCTCCTCCCTTGGCCACTCTCCGCCCCGAGTCCCTCCCGAGTCTCCCTTCCCTGCCTCTCCCTGCACGGAGCACGGCCGAGGCCCCGGGCCCGGGCCCGAGCAGGTCGCGAGCCGCGTGCGGGCCTCGGGGCGCCGGGAGACACCCTGGGGGCCACTCTGCACGCCCACCGCCCTCCGTGGGCCGGGCTGCAGGCGGACCCCGAGGGGAGGCCGGCCCCAAGGCGCGGGGCCCCCTGGGAATCCTGGGCTCGGTTCGAGGGACAAGCCTGACCGCTCTCACCTCCAACAAAGCTATTGACTCAGCGCAGAAATGGGCGGGGGTTGGAGTGAGGCAGCTTCAAAGAATGCGCGTCTGGCAGGACCCGCGCGCGGCCCTGGCCCCGCCCCAAGCCCCGCCCCGGCAGAGCCCGGCCCCGCCCCTACTCCTGGCCCCGCCCCGATCCCCGCCCAGGCAGGGCCCGGCCTCGCCCCTAAACCCCGCCCCAGCAGAGCCCGGCCCCGCCCCTAAGCCCGGCCCCACCCCGAGCCCCGCCCCGGCAGAGCCCGGCAGAGCCCCTAAGCCCCGCCCCGGCAGAGCCCGGCAGAGCCCCTAAGCCCCGCCCCGGCAGAGCCCGGCCCTGCCCCCAAGCCCCGCCCCGGAAGATCCCGGCCCCGCCCCGAGCCCCGCCCCGGCAGAGCCCGACCTCGCCCCTAAGCCCCGCCCCGGCAGAGCCCGGCCTCGCCCCCAAGCCCCGCCCCGGCAGAGCCCGGCCCCGCCCCGACAGATCCCGGCCTCGCCCCTAAGCCCCGCCCCGGAAGAGCCCGGCCCCGCCCCGAGCCCCGCCCCGGCAGAGCCCGGCCTCGCCCCTAAGCCCCGCCCCGGCAGAGCCCGGCCTCGCCCCCCAAGCCCCGCCCCGGCAGAGCCCGGCCTCGCCCCTAAGCCCCGCCCCTCACCTAAGCCCCGCCCCGGCAGAGCCCGGCCCCGCCCCAAGCCCCGCCCCCAAGCCCCGCCCCGCCCCACCCCGGCCGCGGCCCTCCAGCTGCGGAAATAGGGTGGGGCGGGGAGACGAGGTCACTTCCTTCCCCCCAACCCTTGGAAGAGCAAGACCCCAAGAGCTCGATAACGAAATCGGAGAGCGCAGAAAGGGGGGGAAACAAAGTTGGGTACACGGTGGGGAAAAAAAGACCCCGGAAATCCAGCCGCCTTCCAGCTCCAGTCCAGGCCGAAGCAAACGTCACCAGATTCCAAAGGGCTAATTCATCACCGGCCCTGGCAGCTCTGGCCTCACCCCAGCGCCAAGTTCACGTCCGATCAGCGCGAGCGGGGGCCTCTAGTGGTCAGTGCGCAAACAGCAGGGCCTCTGGCGCGGGCCAGGTGCTCCTCGCGCCTGCTCTTGGGTGCTCGCCCCCTTCCTCCGCTCGCGCCCTGCCGACTAAGGTGGCCCTTACGGGTAGAGCCTGCTTCTCGTTCGCCACAATTCTCTTTAATAAAAAATAAATAGATTCTGGGGTAGAAACCGTTCCTTAGGCGGTGGGGTACCCGATTCAGACACTTCCCTGCTCCGGCCCCTGCTCGGCTGGCCCTGCGCTGGGGTGGTCATCTCTTCCTGGGGGAAGGCAGAACTGAGCCCCTGCCCCACTCTGTGCGTGGGGAAGCGACCAAGCCAGGTGTGGCAATCGAGGACCCGGGATGCAGATTGCTGCGGGGCTGCACACTTGCTTCCCGCCTCGCCTGGCAGGAAAAGGGAAGTTCAGGCCCCCCGCCCCCACCCGCCCCCCGTTTCCACTCGGTCTTGCTTCTGAGAAGTCGCACGCGTGTCCAGACCAGCCCAGACGCACGTGCTGGGGTGAATCACACAGCACACTCGCCCCCACGCCGACGGGTGACTGAGTGGCATGAGGAAAGCACGAGGGAGGGGTCCCCGGGACCCTCAGGCGGGCTCCGCGGCGGGCCTGTCCAGGACGTGGGCGCAGGAGCGGCAGCAGGTGGCCACGTAGTAGGGGTAGACGCAGAGTCGGGCCTGCACCACCAGGGGGCAGTGTGGAGAGTTGTCCTGGCACTGGTCATCTGGGGACAGAGGAGACCAGCGGGCACCTGAGGCGGGGTGCTCGGGCTACTCCTGCCCTCCTGAAGCCTGGGCGAGGGTTCTTACCAGGGCTCTGCCCGCAGGGCTGGCTGTTGCACGGCCGCTTCTTGGAGGGGCGCAGGTGCGGAGGGCACCGGGCGCTGAGGGTCTGGTTGGCCGTCAGGCACTGCACCTCCCTGGTCTGCACACCGCCCTGGCAGGAGCGAGAGCACTGGGGAGGCCCCAGCTACCGCATCAGACCCAAGCTGCGTCCCCCTGGCCTCTGAACTGAGTGGCGCAGGGGCGGCCCTCCAGGGTCCCCCAATCTACAGTGTCACCCCGCAGGGCCCATCCTCCCGGATCCCCTTCCCTGAGGCTGCGCCTGGGGCAGGGCCAGGTGCCAGGCACTCACCGGGCTCCAGGGGGTGGAGAACCAGCGATCCCGGCAGTTGTGGCCCTGACAAGACCGCAGGGCCGGGGGCTTGGGCAGGTGGGAGCAGCTACTGGGAGCCGTGACGTTGAACTCGGTGCCCAGCTTGGACACACAGATGAGGTCTCTGCGCTGGGTGCCCAAGCCGCATTCTGAGGAGCACTGCGTGGCAGACAGGAGCTTGTGAGGTGCCCCGAGGGAGCCCAGTCCGTCTGCCACCCCCAGGCCCACCGCTCACCTCGGCCCAGGGCCCGGCAAACCAGCGCCAGCTCAGTTCGCAGGCCCCCAGACTGCAGGCCCGCATGTCGGCAGGGCGGGTCCCCGGGGCGCAGCTGTGCGCGGGGCCTCCTGCCCCGGCCTCGGCCGGGCCGGTGCCCTGAGCCTCCCCGCTGCCCAGGCAGAGGACAGTGCGCCTCTGGATCCCCGTCCCGCACTCGGCTGAGCACTGCAGACAAGCAGAATGAGTCAGGAGCTCAGTGAGGGCTGAGTCCTGGGGACCAAAAAGTGCCCCCAAAGGAACCGGGTTGAAAAGGCGGAGTAGGCAGAGGACGTGTCCCCAAGGAGCTGAGGGGACACCGGCAGGACTTAGCATCCTCATCCCAGGATCCCCCAGCCCCTTGGAACGAGGAGCCCTCCCCGGGCCGAAGCCTACATTTTCTGCCCTAGCTCAGAAGCTTTTCCAGGACCCGGAGACATCGTACACACAGCAGGCAGGGCGTTTGCCTTACACACAGCTGGCCAGGCTATGATCCCTGGCATCCCAGCAGCGACCCTTGAGCTCAAAGCCAGCAGCAAGCACGGCAGGGCCTGGCTCAGGAACCACCCCTCACCCCCACCCCCCAAAAGCAGCAGCTTACCCAGTTGTGCCGGAAAGGTTCTGAGGGGTACAGGGGCCCACCTTGGAGCTCCAGTCGCTGTGGAACCAGGCCGTAGTGCAGGGCCCCATGTCACAGGCCTCCTTGCTGGGGGGCCGCGGGGGGCCCAGCACACACTCCCGCTCGCTGACTTCGTCCCCGTTGTTTCCTACGCAGCGCACCTGCCGGGTCCGCTGGCCACGCCCGCACCGCACTGAGCACTGCAGGGTGCAGGGTGAGGGGTGCATGAGTGGTGCTGTTTCCCAGCACACCTGCTCCATGCTGGCCCCGTGGCTTGTGGGCCAAGGAGCAGAACGCCAGGCCCCACTCGATCTCCTTTTTTTTTTTTTTTTTTGCTTTTTGGGTCACACCCAGCGTTGCACAGGGGTTACTCCTGGTTCTGCACTCAGGAATCACCCCTGGCGGTGCTCAGGGGACCATATGGGATGCTGGGAATCGAACCCGGGTCAGCCGCGTGCAAGGCAAACGCCCTACCCTCTGTGCTATTGCTCCAGCCCCTCGGTCTCCTCTTAGAGTGACACCTTTGAACCTGTCTGCAGACACGCGCTGCTGAAAGGTGGGCAAAACCCTGCCCTGGCTGGCCGGTGCCCCTCCCCCGCCGCCGTCTCTTCCCGCTCACCTGGCTCCAGGGGGACTGGACCTCCCAGTGGCCGCAGAGGCGCAGCTGGCAGGCCTGGGTGACGTTGGGCCGGGGCAGGTGGCCACAGCGCTCGGGCGGCACCGAGGAGCCCCCAGCCCCAAACTCCTGGCGGCAGAGCAGCTGACGGTGCTGGATCCCAGGCCCGCAGGAACGGCTACATGATGTCCACTCGCCGGCCTCCCAGCTGTGGGCACAGGGCACACAGTGGCGGGGGACTGTGCTCCTAGGCCCTCCGGGGACAAGGCTGGCTCTTAAAGCCACAGTCAGCACCTGGAGCCCAGGACCTACGCCACCCCCAATTCTCTCTGTTCCTGGGGCCACACTCACAACGGAGGACACGGAGGGCCGTGGCAGGGCTTCAGGGACACCAGGGGCTTGCTGGCTGTGGCACAGCTTCGTTCATGCAGTTCCTCCCCGGACTCCCGAGAAATGCAGAGAAAGATGGGGTGCAAGACACCTGCGGAGGTGAGAGGGAACAGATGGGCTTGAACCCTCCCGGGGTGGCCCAGCCTCATTGAGCGGAGAGCCCTCTCGGGGCCTGGGGGCGTGACCCACCTTCCCCGCAGGACGCTGAGCACTCAGAGAGCCCTGTTTGCTTCCAGTAGCCGGAGGGGGTGCCCCCAGGGCTCCGGGGCTGAGGGGGCGCCAGCACCTGGGGGATGCGCACCTGCCGATGCCGAGTGCCGGGGTTGCGGGCGGGCCGGGGGGCTGCCACCGCCGGGGGCACCGCCTTCAAGGTCTCTGCAGGAGAGTGAAGGAGACGCGTCAGGGGCCCCGATCGCCGGGGCCCCCCCAGCTCTCCCCAAGAGTGGGATACAGCCTTACCAGGCAGCGGGAGGGGAGCACGGGGCTCAGGGGTGGGGGTCTCGGGGGTGGGGGGCGAGGAGATGACATACTGGTAAGAAACACCCAGGTTCTCCTCCTGGAAGATCATCTGGGGAGAGACGCAGTCAGCAACACGCACTTGGGGACATGGGGACGAGCCCAGGGTGCCCCCGGCAGAGCCGAGCTGTCCCCGGCACTTACATAGACGTCCACGGGCTGTGTGAGGGGACCCTGGGCTGACAGGCTCTCACCCACGCCTTCCTCCCGGGGGGGACGGCGGTACTGGAAGGTGGTGCCCCCCGCCGTATAGGACCCGGGAGGATCGACTGCCCAGTTCCCATTGATGATCGAGCGGCCCCCGGGACCTCGAAGTGCTGCAGGCAGGGGAGGAGGAGCCAGTCAGCGGTCACTGCCCTCGGACCCAGGGCTGGCGCTCGGATCGCAGGGCTGCAGGGCTGCCAAGCGGAGCACCGGCCTGGGCCTCACCGAGGTAGTTGGAGCTGGGCCGGAGCTGGGCGATCTGGAGCTGAGAGGCCCCGGCAGGAATGAGCAGGATCTTTTGATAGCCCAGAGGGCCGCCCCGGTCAGTCAGGTTCCCTGAGACAAGGCGGCAGGTGGAATCATCACCCCCACAGACACCACAGCCATCTGGACGGCTGCCCGAGCCCAGGATCCCGTCACAGCCGGGACTCTGAGGGAACAGGAAGAAGCCCATCACCACGTGACAGCCAGCCTGGTGCCCTGGGGTCTTTGAGCCGACCTGTCCTGGCACCCCACCCCCACCCCCTTCCCCGTAGCACTGAGGATGCACGTTTGTGGGCACCCTCCCAGCCAGCCTTCCCCGCATGGGCCTGCCTGATGGCGAGGGTCCTTCTAGAACTTTCCCTCTAATCTCCGCTCAGCTCAGTGTGGCAGAGATCTTTCCTCTCTCTGACCTCACCGTGTGAATGTGTATGAATGTGAGTGTGTGTGTGTGTGTGTGTGTGTGTGTGAATGTCTGAGGGTGACAGTGTGTGAGTGTTGAGTGCATGTAAGTGTGAGAAAGAGTATGTGTGGGTGTGTGAATGAGAATGGGAGTGTCTGAATGCGTGTGCGTGTGAGTGTGACAGTGTGTGTGCGTGTCTGTTCCACCCGCCCTCACCAGACAGCGTCCTGCCACGCAGATGTCGAGGGAACCGGGCTGACACAAGGTCCCATCCTGGACCTTCTCGGTGTGACGGACATAAAAGCGGAAGCCACGAGGCCGACAGTTGAGTTCGCAGCGCTGGGAGCCCTGGACTGAGAGCAGAGGCGAAGGGGTGTGAGCCCGATGGGCTGAGGGCTCCCCTAGGTCTCAGCTTCTGAGGGGAAAATGGACACTTCTGCACTCTGAAAGGTGACTCTGAGGATCAGGTAAGAATGAGGGTGGGTCAGCGGGGGTCACAGAGACCAGCAGAGGGTATTTGAAATTCCTGGAGCGTATTTGAAACCTGCGTCCGCTGAGCTCAGAACTCAGCGTTTGTCTCACTCTGAAGGAGCAGGACACCTAGATCCCAAGCCAGGAGGCCGGTCACGAGGGAGCTCCGCCCAGGGTCACAGCACCCCAGCAAGCACAGGCCACCCCCGGGGAGGGATTTGCCAGCCTGAGCCCTCTGCTGCCAGCTACCCACAGGGCCTACCTGTCCCCTTCCTGCCCCTGCCTGGCAGGGGGAGGGTGGAAGGGAGAGGAGATGTGACCCAGGGGTCAAATGCAGAGAGGAGGGTCGCAGGAAGACACCTCACCTTCCGTGAAGGGCTCCCACTGGTACAGCTGGCCCATAAACTCCTGAGAGTCGAAGGCTGCGCACTGCAGGGCCCGGGGGTCCGGCTGCTCCGGGGGGCAGGGCTGAGGTGGGGGGATACAGAGGTGTCAGAGCTGGGGAGGAAAACGGGGGTGTGGGTCAAGCCGGTTTCGGGGGAGGCATGGGCTATGCAGGAGCTCCAGCTACGGGGGAGGCTGAGGGTCTGGCTTGGATTCGGGGACTCCAGGGAGGGCCGGGGGGCTGGGTGGCAGAGTGAGTGGCGCTCACCTCTTGGAAGCAGGCTCTCAGCTGCTCGGGCTCCCCGGAACACCTTGGACTGCTGGGGGCAAAGATGCTCCACCGGGAGCCGGTCTGGGGGGTGTCACTCAGCAGCGGCAGCCAGCCGGCAAGGGGCCTGTGGGGGGTCTCCCCAGACCTCCTGTGCTCCCGGCTCTGCTGGCCTCGGCCCCGGGGGACAGGAAGGAAGCGGTTAGGGTGTCTTTCTGTCGTCTGGGAATGGGCCCAAGGCTGGACCCTTGGCCTCGCGGGCTGAGAGGAAGCGCGGAGGGAGCTGTCTGCTTCTAGAGCTGCGGGCTGGACACTTCTGTGGGCCTGGGCTGGAAGGTGGGCACTTGTGGGGACAGGCGGGCTTCTAGCGGGCACTCCTGCCCCAACAGCGCTGGGGCTCGGGGGTTCTGCCGGAGGGGGTGTGGAGTGGGCAGTCCGATTTGCAGGGGACAGCTCTCCTCCTGGAGTCCCCTCTGGGCGCTCTGGGGGCGGGGAGCTCTCAGACCGAGGTGGCCTCCCGGGGTGCCGGCGGTTCCGATGCAGTGGCAAGGCAAAGGGCACTCTCCCGTAGCCAAACATCCCTGGCTTGATGGGGTCTCGGACCCGGGACCTGAGAAGCATGGATCGCAACGCTGGCAGGCTCGGACCCCCCCTGCCCGCCAACCTCTGAGCCCCAGCTCGCCCACATTCCAAGCCCCACCCCGCCCTAGCGCTCCGCCCTGGCCCCAACCTCCCCGCGCCCCACCTCCGCCGAGCCTCCCTCCAAAGCCGCCGCGCCCCACCCCTCACCTCCGGGGTCCGGGGGTCTCCTGGGCTTCCTCCCGCCCGGCCTGGGAAGCCGGACCTCGAGGTGCGCCTCCTCTTCCCCAAGGCTGCGCGGGGAGGGTCTCTCGGGGACTGTGGGGCCTGGGGCCCTGGCCCTGGCGCAGCAGGGCTTCCGGGCGCCCTGGGGTGCGGGGCGGGAGGGGCAGGCTGCGGGGGTGCTGCGGGCTGGGGAGCTGGCATGAGCGGCTCCTGCGCTGCACCCCCACCCCACACGGTTGGGAGCAAGAGGCCCACGGGCCCCAGGGCCCCCAGACGCCCTCCGGGACGGGGCCCTCGTCAGCGGGCGTCTGCAGGAAGGGTCCAGGGGAGACCTGTGCGAGCGAAGTTGGCGGGATTTTAGGGGGCGGCGGGCGCGAGCCCACCCCCACCCCGCGCGCGGCACTGGGAGTGGGCGCGGCGTCGGGTCGGGATAACGGGGAGGTGGGCGCGGCCCTCACCTCCTGGTCCAGGCCGAGCTGAGGGAGCGACAGGAGGAGCAGCAGACACCAGGGTGGCCTGCAAACCAGAGGGGCGCGTCCGCCGGTGCGGGGGGCTGCACAGCCCCCCCAGACGCCCCCCGGGGTCTCCCGGGCCCCTCCCGCCCCGCCCGCCGCAGGACGCCCCCCGCACCTGCCAGCCCTCCTCTCCTCCATCACTCCTCCAGAAGGCGCGGGGAAGGCGCTAGGCGGGCATCTGGGCTGGGGGCGCTGCGGGACACCAGCGGGTCACTTGGCGCTCCCCCACGGCAGGGGGTGGGGGGCAGCCCCGCACGCCCAGGAGCGCCAAGAGGGGACCCCGAGCCGGCGCTGTCCTGGTGGAGCGCGGAGCGCAGCGCCAAGGGTGGGGGTCTGACCTCACCCTCGCTGCTGGCCAGCTCTGGTCACGCCTCCCGCCCGCTCCCCGCGCGTGCGGAGAGCCCGGCCCAAGTGTGGGGGTTGCAGCGAGGCCAGGCCCGCCCCTCCCGAGAGCTGACCCAAGCTCCGGGGGGCCCTTCCCCATCTATCCCGTTTCCGTGGGACCCCAGGCAAGGGCACCTCCACCTGCCCGGATGGCTCTGGCTCAGGGACCCAGGCGCTCACTTGCTGCAGGTCCTTCTCTGTCGGGCTGAGAGACCCCTTCAGAATTCCCCAGCGCCAAGTAGGGGGACATGCACGGACTTTGTCAGCGGGGAAGGGGCCTGGACCTCCCTTCCCTGGCCCTAGCCAGCGGCTCCTCTGCCCACTGGCGCCCTCCTGCCCCGCGCCTGCTGCTCTAACTCTGCTCCCCAGGAAAACAATGTTTCTGTTGGATGTGGAAGGCTCCGGGGAAAGGGATCCAAGGAGCCCGTGGCCAGCTGCGGGCAGACAGCTGGGAGGGAGGGGTGTGATGGGGGCAGAAAAACAGCCCCAATCTCTCTCTCTCTCTCTCTCTCTCTGGCGACCCCAGGCCCTTGGGGCGGGGGAGGGGGCAGCCAGGAGGAATCTGAGCCTGGGGCTGGGCTGCCCATTTGGCTCTGGCCGGGGCTCCAGGGACCTGCTCTGGCCACCTCCCCAAGCCTCCATCTCAGCCTGAGTCTGTGTCAGGAGGTCGGAAAGGGACAGGGAAGGGGCACGGTAGTGGAGATCGCGGTGCCCTTCTCTGAGGTTGGGTCCCCTCGCCTGTCCCCACCCCACCTTGGGTCAGGTCTACCAGTCAGTACACATAATCCCGGCCTGAGCTGCCTTTGGCTTGGGCAGCTCCCTGGAGAAGTCAGGGGTGGGGGTGGGGTGACGTGAGTTCCTGGAGACCCAGCCTGGCCTGGATCCCGCTCTGGAAAAGTCCCCCCCTCCCCTCCTCCCCCCCCCCCCGCCCACTTCAGCCCACACACACCCTGCCCCACTGGCAGGGGCCCACATGACACCCTGTCCCCAGTGCAGGCACACACAGTGCTGCTCCAAGCCCCTTCGCTGCCCTTCAGCTGGAGGCGGAGAGGAAGAGGTCCACAGTGACAGTGTCAGTTTCGGGGACAGCGCGCTGCACACTGGCCTCTGGGGACCACCCCCCGTCCTCCCCGATCGTGGGGCTGCAGGACCTGGACGCGGCTGACCCCTTCACCCTAAAGCGCGCCTCGGCACCCCGCGTCCGCCCCGCCTGCTCGCTGGGTGACCGGCCCAGCAGGTGGTCTCCACCTGCACCCCCGCGTGCGTAAAAGGGGTCCTGGCGCTGCGCGCGGCGCGCGGCGCGGGCCAGAGGCCCCGGTTCGGTGGCAGGCGGCCGCGGAGCCCCCGGGGGTCGGGATCGGAGCCCCCTCCCCAGGACTCCACCCGGCACGGGAAGTCCCGCCGGTGCGTGGGGACCCGGCTCGGGGCAGCCGGGCCAGCGGGCCGGGAGAGCGGGGCCACCGGGGCCCGGGACGCTCCGTACCTGCTCGGCGCGGCCCCGGCGGCCCGTCTGCGCCCAGGGCTCTCCCGAGGCGGCCTCGCTCGGCGGCGGCCACTGCGGCCCTGGAGCGGCTCTGCGGCCGCCGCCCCCGGCCCGCCCCGGCCCGCCCCGGCCCGCCCACCCCGCGCCGGCCCCGCCCGCGCCTTCCACCCGCGCGCGGCGACACCGGCCACCCGCGCCCGCCCGTGGCCTCCCGCGGCTCCGGGGCGCGCAGCCCAGTGGCTGCTGCCCGGCTGGGGGCGGCGCGCAGGCCAGGCCTCGCGCGACCCCCCGTCCGCTCGGCGTGGCCCTCGCCCCCGCTGGGCCTCCCCGCGAGCCCCCCGTGCCTCACCCGCGCGCTGCGGGTGACGTGCTACCTCGGTTTCTTCACCCGAGGTGCCCAGGGGACCGCTTGGGACTCCAGGGATTGAATTTGGGGCCCCGAGCCCGCTGTACTATCACTCCGGCCCCTGTTTATTTATTTATTTTATATTTTTGCTTTTTGGGTCACACCTGGCAATGCACAGGGGTTACTCCTGGCTCTGCACTCAGGAATTACCCCTGGCAGTGCTCAGGGGACCATATGGGATGCTGGGATTTGAACCTGGGTCGGGCCACATGCAAGGCAAACGCCCTACCCGCTGTGCTATCGCGCCAGCCCCCGTTTATTTTTGTTCACTTTATTTCATTTCGGAGCTACACCCAGTGGGACTCAGAGGCCACTCCCTGGCAAGCTGCTCAAGGCGCGCCTCCTTGTACAGTGCTCAGGGAACCAGGCACCAGCGAGCAAACCCAGAGCTCAAGTCTGGGGCTTCCACAGGCAGACCTGGCTGTCCGCCTGTGAGCTCCCTGGTCCTAAGATGCTTTATAATATAAAACTGTGTCCTTTTTCCCACCTTTACCTGCTATAGTTGCAGTGACTCAGGGGGTCCCCACCCCATGGGCTGAGGGACTGCACTGGGCATGTGGGCGATTTGGAGGAAACGCTAAGGCAGCCATCTATCAGGCCCTTTGTCCTGGAGTGCTCCTAGTCAGTGTGCAGGGACCATGGACTGCTAGAGATTGAACTTGGAGCCCCAGGAACTGTATCCTAACTGGTTTAGCAGGCATCTTTTATTTTCCTCAATTTTCTGAATTCCCTCAAGTCAAGGAACTTTTTTTTTTGGTTTTGGGGTCACACCTGGCTATGCTCAGGGGTTACTCCTGGCTCTGCACTCAGAAGTTACTCCTGGCGGTGCTCGGGGGACCATGGGATGCTGGGAACCGAACCTGGGTCGGCTGCATGCAAGGAAAACGCCCTCCCCGCTGTGCTATTGCTCCAGCCCCAAGTCAAGGAACTTTTATGGTTCTTTGTCCATCTCTATATTTTTGTAGTGTGCGCGCGCGTGTGTATGTGCACGCATGCCCAGAGTTTAAGGAAACATTTGGGTTTTTGTTTGTTTTTTTTGGGGGGTCACACCCAGCAATGCACAGGGGTTACTCCTGGCTCTGCACTCAGGAATTACTCCTGGCGGTGCTCAGGGGACCATATGGGATGCTGGGAATCAAACCCAGCCGCGTGCAAGGCAAAGGCCCCTACCTGCTGAGCTATGGCTCCAGCCCCTTTAAGGAAACATTTGGATTATAATAGCAGAGAATTGTAAAGAACAAAAGCATCCCATACCTCTCAACTTTTCTGCCTAGACCTAGGACCCATGAGCAGGGCCTGAGATCCCTGTGAACCCCCGTTATTTGGGGGAGGTAGAACCAAGTTGCTAGAGTTTCCATTCCTGTGTTTTTGTTTTTTAAGAGAAGCTACAAAACCCTTACTTTCTTTTATGAAGCCATTGTTATTTGCAAAGTTATTGATAGTTGAAACACACAGTGTTCCAACTCCAATCCCAACACCTGTATCAACCTAAAAAAATTGCAATTTGGGGGATTCATTTTTAGGTTTTTAAAATTTTTTTCATGAAAAAATGTTTTTTGTTTTGTTTTGTTTCATGGTCACACTCAGTGATGCTCAGGGCTTACTCCTGGCTCTGCATTCCTAGTGGTGCTTGGGGGACCATATTGGGATGCTGAGGATCAGACTTGGGTGACTGTGTATAAGGAAAAAGACCATACCCACTGTACTGTTGCTCCCAGCCCCAATTTTTGTGTTTTGGTCTTTGACCATACCTCAGCACTTACTCCTGGTTTTGTGCTCAAGGGTCACTCCTGGTGGAGCTTGGGTGGTCATATAGAACACTGGGGATCAATAAACCTATGTCGACCACGTGCAAGACAAGTGCCCTACCCATTATTCTGCCTCTCTGGTTGGTCCCCCAAGCCAAAGCTGTCATGTCCCCTCCTCACTGAGTGTTGCAACCAATAACGATGGTTGTTGGTACCATTAAAAAAAAAATTAAGAAGAAAATAAAAGAAAATATTGATGTTTTGAAATACTGACATTTGAACCAAAGTAATAGTACAGCAGGTAAGTGCTTGTCTTGCATGCAGCCAAGGCAGGTTCGATCCCCAGCACCCCCTCTGACCCCACAAGCAGCTTCAGGAGTGATCCCTGAGTGCAGAGCCAGGACTAACACTTGAACATTGCTGGGTGTGGGCCAAAAACCAAAAATAAATAAATAAAATACTAGTGTTGTTAAAATTTTTTTTTCTTTCTGGTTCAACTTCTGGCTCTGCACTCAGAAATTACTCCTGGTGGGTTTGAGGAATCACGTGGAATGTTGAGGGTTGAACCCAGGTGGACTACTTTGGGAGGCAAGCGCTGTCGTTCCAGTCTCATGATGCTATAAGACACTGGTAAGTAAAATATAGGTATAACTATTCACAAACATCCAGTTGCATTAATGAAATTTGATGGTATTAAAGCCACGGGGAGCGGGTATGAAGACACAGCAAGAATGAAAGCTCCAAGTGCAGAGCACAGAATAGGTCATATCTGCCTGCAGGTCTCCAGTCCGTACCTTTCCTTTCCCGTGAAAGCCTCAGCCTTGGGCCCCGGGGCAGTGGGTCAGTGGCAGAGCCAGGCACTGCCTTGTTATGGAGCACAGTGTGCAGGTGCCGTGGTTGTGTGATCTCCAGCACCTGAGGGTGACCCCCATGAGCCCTAAGACTATGAGTGTGACCTCCAGATGCGGCAATGACCACCTAAGGTAAGAAAGGGAGGGAGAGGCATTGGAGAGCAGGGAGCAGTGGTGAAGTCTGTGCCTTGCAAGCATGAAACCTGGATTGATCCCAGCAACACACACACACACGCACACACACACACACACGCACACACACACACACACAAACACACACACACATGCAGAGAGAGAGAGAGAGAGAGAGAGAGAGAGAGAGAGAGAGAGAGAGAGCGCTGTGTGCAGTTTGGGAAATAATGGGTTAATTTTCCCCCACCCCCCAGGAGGTTTATCTTGGAACTTTGGACACACAGTCCCAGGCCCAGGCTTATTTATAGGCCTGGGTTTGGAAGGCAAAGCCCTGAGCTCCACCCTCAGCTGCACTGCCTGGGAGAAGCCAGGCCCAGTCCACAGAGGTGTGGCTCTCTGTGCACCTCCCTCCAACCACACCCCATTAGCATCCTCCTTATCTGCCAGGAGCCAAACAAGGACTGAGGAGAGCAGGGTGGGAAGGGACGCTGGGTGACGCCACCCCTTGACATTTGTCAGAAGCGACTGCCCTGCTCAGAGTTTTCCAGACAGACTCCAGCTGTCTGGGAATAGTGTGTGAAGAAAAGAACGTCTAATGCCTGAGCAAGTTGGGAAGGCCCAGATAGAATGTCTGATCCGTCTCAAGGATGAAAGGTTTCTTAAAAGATCACCTGAGGTGGGTCCCTGAGCACTGCCAGGAGTGACTCCTGAGTATAGAATCAGGACTAAACCCTCAGAAAGCATATGGGGTGCCAGGGATTGAACTCGAGTCAGGCACATGCAAGGAAAGTGCCCTCCTGACTGTGCCATCTCTCCGGCTCCTTAGAAAGATTATCTGAGAGGCAGAGTTCTGGCAGAGTAACCGGAGCGACACGGCAAATGAAGGAGACTGTATGACTTGGGTCTGGTCTGGTACATTAGGGAAACATTGCAGGCACCTTGTGGGGACCAAGGGTCTGGGACACATCTCCTCCTCAGGTTTGGAAATAAAATCACAAAGAAAACTGCAGTCATTTGTCTCAGATCTCAGAGCTAGAAGCTGTTACCTACATATGTGTTGACCACGTACAGATAACACTTCCCCCTTCTTTTCTTTCCTTTTTTAAAGGCTTTTTTCTTTTCCATTTGTTTCTTTCCAAATTAGGGCATTCTTAAGCCCTTGGGTCTGACGCCAAAGAAACAAAAACAAAATATTGGAGAAGCTGAATTGAGTTCCTTTCCTCACTTTCCCCCTGGCAGTTAGTGAAAAAAGTTTTGCGTGTGGAATTAGGTAATATTTAATAAATATTCAACGACTGCAATACTTAATTGCTTTCAGTTACTACAGTGATTAGGGATGCAAAGTGATTAGTGCTACAAAAACTGTTTCCTGTGAGACTTGGTCCGTAGACCAAGGTACGCTGACCACAGGTGGGCCCCGAACCGGATGTGAAACACTCTGTCTGCACCCCAAGTCACAGCAACCATTTCCAGAAAGCCTTGGGCTTTCCCTTCCCACCTCTCGGCATCAGTGTTTGCTCAACTCTTTCGTTCCAGAAGTGCCACCCTCGTGATCTGCCATCGGCTCCTGCTGTCACATGGTGGCACCTGTTTTGTTTATTGATGCCATTCTCCTGACCATTTGGCTTGGCCTTGGCTGGTCGGCTCACTTGCTGCCGTTGTGTTCTCTCGGAGGGCGGGGACCACACGTCTGTGTTTCCTTTTGCACCCAGCCCTGACCTGCACACAGTAGGCATTTACCTGCTGCATGCTTGTGGGAGGAACCTCAAGTGTGAGACAGGGAACAATTGTCTTGCCCCATTGTGGCTGAGCTGACTGAGGGTGACGAAATGATGAGAAACAGGATGTGGCCTGTCCAGTCAGGTCAAGGCCAGGCCAGGCCATTAACAGCAGATTCTGGTCTCCTGGACTCAGCCTGGGAAAAGTTCAATTTAGTTGAAAAGCCCTTAAGCCCTTCAAGTCACAATTTTTGTTTGGTTTTGGTTCGGTGGGGGGGGCACACCCAGTGGTGTTCAGAGGTTACTTCTCACTCTACACTCAGGGGTCACTCCTG